TCCTCCTGAACGGTAGTCGATGGGATCTCCTCCTGAACGGTCGAGGGGATCTCCTCCTGAACGGTCGGAACCCTCATCATCCTCAGTCTCCGCCTTGACTCTGGTGGTGGAGATTCACTAGGGGGTCGCCGTCGCTCATCCATGTTTCGTGGCCCAGTCCAGGCCCGCCGCTTTGATTCAGGGCGAGGTAGCTCTCGACTAGGCTGCCCCCGCTGTGGAAGATGGGGTGTGCCTTGATTAACCACCTCGGTACGTCGGCCCATATGTGGGTTGCCTCTGGTGTAGTTCCAGTTGTCCTGCCTCATTTCATCGTCCGTGATAACGTACTGTCTTTCCACCTCCGCACCGAAGATCACGATGTTTCTTTCCCCGACGAAGTCGTCGCTCCTGTAGGTGAAATACCAATAGAACCGATCTCTCGAGTGACCACAATCCACCACGGTACAATACTCTCTCATAGTGTTCTCGCCCGTGGTAGGATGGACGAAGGGTTCTTCTAGTCCGGCTTCGCACCCCATTCGAACAGCACTGCGGATGTTGTAGCGCTCCATCCAAATTTTGTTGGCAAAGTCTCTTACATGGACTGCCTCTATCATACTTCTCTTGACGTCGTCAAAGTTCTCCCAATCCAATCGCAACCCGGCCAACCTTATGGCTGAGATGTGGGCGGACTTGATCAGCATGTCGCGAACAACTCGAATTGGCCTCAAAGCCGGAGGAGGGTGTTCAGGAGGTGGTAGAGGAGGTTGTTCATCGTCAGCACTTCCACCCTCTAGGTCAGGAAGTTGAAACCCAAGCTCATTCGCAAACTCCCGGTCTGACCCATTGATCCTTTCATCAGAACGAATCGTATAGGCAGCCAACACCACCCGGGTTCCCGACCAGCCTGAAACTTCATGCCAATCTCGGGGATAGAACTTTATTGGACCTCGAGATACTTGTAGTACATGTCCATCCACTTTCCGCCCCTGGACTTGGCGGGGAATCACTGCGTACCCCTCTTCAGGACCAGGTACCCACAGTCCACCACGCCGGAACTTCGTCAAAGGAGCCAAAAGCGTTTGGTGGTAGAGGCTGTTGTGGGGATCCTTGTGCATTGCTGTCTGGTGGTTCTTGAGGATGGCCACTGAGGTCCATTGGTGGTTCGGGTCCACCTGCTTGATGTAAGCGTTGATCACTTTCGTGGTTGTTGGGAACGACCTCGTAGAACGCCTTAGGCCCGCTACTCCTCCATGGATGAAGGCGCCCGTTGACCAGGCCTTCTTTTCTTTCGCCCGTGATTTCGCGTGGTTCTCATGTTCTTCACCTGGTGGTACTTCACCTCGGGGAAACCGTTCATCCGGCAAAAGGTTGAGGAGGTGGTGAATCTGGTTGGGCTGCACCGCTTCCGTGGAAAGGTTGGTGAGGATCTTCAAAGCGTGGGCCTCGGCAGGGTGTAGTTTTTCCGGTTCGGTAACCATTCTCGACATCGCTGGGGGTGCCTCAATCACTTCCCTTTTGTCAATGTCAAAAAGGTCTTCGAGGTCCCTGTCGGGGATCTCTTCCACACCCTTTGACTTTGTCCTCAACCTTCTCTCAGGAGGAATTTCTTCTTCAGCTGGCACCACGGCTGCGACTGGAGGTAGTAGGTCAAGACCCTCGGGCTCCACCACATCCATTCTGATGCCCTTGGCAATAACCAATCCACCATCTTCTCGACAAAGTACATGGCCTCCTTGTACATCTGGTGCCACTCCTCGGTATCGAGCCTTGCGCCATCGGGGAGGTAGATCAGGAAGAGCTCCGGCCACGATCTTCTCCTTAGAACCCGCGTAGTTCTTGATCTTGTACCAAACCTCTTGGCCGAAAGCAGGTAGAGGTTCTCTGGGTCGACC